GGAAGAAGCATTGTTCCTGTGGGAGGAAACAAGATGATTTGGAAAAGTTCTTGGAACAGATAAGAAGAATTGAAAGCATAAAAAATTTGGCACTGTTACGATTTCAGCTGCTATTAGTAGAACAATTTAAAATACGTAAAAATACTTAGTTGCACGAGGATAGATATCTTTCCAAATCTGTTTCAAGTTCAAGACAGGGATTGGATGAATTCCTAAAGAGATACTAAAGGCAAGGAATTGGGGGATATTCTCTAGTAATCTTTGCCTTATATTTGTGGATACCAGAGGAAGAGTAGGGAAGAGGGTCACATAGAGGCCAGGCTTGCAAGCCGTCTGCACACAGCACCTCTTCCTGGCACTGGAGACACAAAGAAAACTTGGCTTTAGGTGGACATTAATCTGCTTCTGTGTTTTCTTGAATTTTAAAATGTACAACTCAAAGAAATATCTATATTCAGGCCCTCATCTTTTCTCCAGAAAGCTTGTGCAGTACCTGAACAATTCTAGCTTTTTTTTTAATTCTAAATGCATGCTTGAATTCCTCCTGTGGAAGCCAGACAGATGCATGGTTCAGAAGAGTGTTTAATGCTATACCATGTCAGGTTCTGCAGGTGGTGTCTGTCAGAGGGAAACAGGGCCACTGCACATTATTTTCTGATCTGTGACTACATATTGTCTGTGTAGTAAGATAGAACATTCTTCAGTGAAGGTCTGTCTAAAGTTTTGTGGTTGGAGTCAAAAGGTTAAGAAAAGGAGGGGTTTTGTTCAAAGCTTAGGTCCAGAAGAGCCTGTGGCCAGCACAGAATTAACACAGTTTATCTAGCTGTCACTGTTTTTGATCAGTCTCAGAGTGCCATGCAAACTGCAGAAGAATAAAAAAGCAGTCCATTCTAAGGAGACCCCTCAGGTTTGTCATGTGCATGACCACCTCCATCAAGGCTCCAGACATATTGGGGTATTCTAAAATAAATGACTGCACAAACCTTGGAGCAAACCTCCTTCGTTGCTAACAGAAACACATGCATTGATGGAAGGGAATTCTCAATTAATGCCGACCTGTTTAGCAGCACTGGTGCCCTATGGCTCTTCAGGTGTCATCGCTGACAGTGCTTGAACTTTGAGGGAATCCTTTATTTGCATAAAGAAGCTGCTGCAAAGGTACTGACTGCTTGAAATGCTTTGCCACAGCTTAGGTACAGCATGGGCAGACAGCAGCCCTCTTTGTGACAGAAATCTCACAAGCACAGAACTGTACTACTGTCAGTTGTTTTAGCACATGTGGGAGCACTATCACTGTCTCTTCTGTAGCACTGAGCATCATTTCCCTGGAAATGGTACTGAAGCATTCCCACTTCAAGACTGAGTTCAGAAAAAGTGAGAAATTACAGCACTGGCCCTGTCTGGTGAGAATAAACAGGACTTAAACAGTGCCAGTCAAGCCAGGCATGCTGTTTCACATTCAAGGCTTTCCAGCTGAAATGGCTTGTGTTTTCAGTCTTGGGTAGAAGAAGCTTTGAGGTGCTTGGCAAGAGCTGACTCTCTTCTGTTTAGATAGAAACAGAAGACAGCAAAGGAGATTCTGATGACATATAAGGAAGAAAAAAAAAATACCCAGTAAAAAAAAAAATCTAAAATGACCCAGTTCAACACTGCTACAGAAGCCCAAAAAGTTGAGGAATCTCCATCCTTGGTGGTGTTCAAAACTCATGTTGACAAGCTTCCCAAAGAACTCTTCTCCCTTGCTGGTTGTTCATCTAAGAAACCAGGATTCTTGAAAATAGTGGTGGTGATTGTATTTATCTCTTTAACTGAGATCTCAAACATAAATTTTGGTAATCTAGGTAACACAGTGAAGGTGCCAAAGTAAACAGTCATGATAACTTCGGTGAATGATGTAAGGAGACAACCCAGAAACTTCCAACTTCCATCTCTTGGAGCTTAGTGTTACAGTAAAAGTCATATGTGACTGATGTTTTCTGACTGCTTGGGATCTTCACAGTTTTATAAGTTTGAATCATTAAAAGGCATTTTGATCCTCTGGAACTGTCACTTCTCAGATGCTTTAAAATCTTCAGGACTTCCCAGGAGATGGAGATCATTCCACTGGCTAAGGAAGTGTATGCCTAAAAATGGGTTAAATCCTTTAAGGAAAGGTTAGCATAAGAGGATTGACAGCTGGTACATGAGTGGCAAGTTCATGTACTTGGAGGAGAGAAAGGATGAGAAGCAGTATTTAAGGAAGTCTATCAAGGGATCCTGTGCACAGAAGATGTATTGCTTTACAGTTGGATTTGGAGGAGAGTGGGGAATAGTGGACTCCATACTCCATAGCAAAGGGAAGTAATCTTGCTGAAAGCAGTTTTGGAAGAAGTAACTAGCTGAGAAGGCCATGAAAAGATGCTTGTGTGGACAAGAGAAGAGGGTGGTTTGAAAGTTGGGATGGTTTGAGGTTTCTGTTTACGTAGTTTGAGGTAGGGTAGAAGTGGTAGGAGAACTGAAGAATGAAAGATGAGCGTCTCTGGGTGTAGTCAGATTCTGTACACATCAAGTGCTAGGGGGAAGGGCAGGGCAGTGGTTAGCAATTTAGGGGCTCAGTACTCTTTAATTCACAGAGGCTACTGCTTCCCTCCTACTCTCCCTTAAATGCTTCCATAATGTTCTCTCTATCCTTCACTGTGGAGTAAGCATTTTTCATTGAGGTGTGGAAGAGGTAGAAAAAAAATAAAAATATAAAAACTAAAACAACTAAAAAAATTACCTTTTTTTATCTACTAAATCACTACCAGCTTTTTGATTTAACCACAGTTTATTTCAGGGAAAATAATTGCCAATCTAGGGCTGTATGATTCCTCTTAAAGAGCAGTGTAACTTTGGTGGGATACAGGGCCAACCAGGATAAGGCAAAGAGATGTTGTAAGAGAGATGTGCAGGTGAGGAGAGCAGCAGAAGAACAGCTGGTCTCCTTGGAGCCAGAAATTGTTTTGTGTCTGGTTTCGTGTACAAGGGGTTTTTTAGTTATATCTTTTCTGTGGCAATTTCAATGCTATGGCCTGAGATCCAGCAGCCAAAGTATATTTGGGTTCGGTTTTCTGCTCTGTGACTCAGAAATTATGTGACATGAGAAAATCTGAATTGTGAGCTGTTTCCAAGCCTTCTGCAGATAAATGAAGTCCCATTGACAGATATTAAAGTATGCTTCAGTTTGTTTGACATCTGTTTCTGCATTTGTTTGCCTTCATTATGAACACTTCAAAGTCCTCATCTCTTAGGATTTTACTGGCCTAATAAAAAACTTTAAGATATTATAATATTACAGATTCACTGTCAGTACAAATCGTATTTATATCTCCATGTAGACGTGTCTTGCAGGCTTGATTTTGGTGTACCCAGTCTTAGTTTTGGTGGCTCAGGCAGCAGTCTTCACTCCTGTTCCAGGAGAACACTGCTGTGAGCTTGGATAGTTCTTTCTGTAAAGAAGAACGTTCTGATCTTTCACCCTGGAATGTTCTCCTTTCTGCAGTTGCATTCTGTGGTGTTTTTATGTCATGTTGTATACATGCTAAATAAACTAATAAGCAGTACCTGTATTATATCCATCCTCACATTTAATCTTCATTTTTCCTCAGTTATACTTAATGGACTTCATTTTTCTCTCTCCTCTGAAGTCATGATTCAAAGTTTTTGCCTCTTGCTGGGATCCCTTTAGTTTCCTTACATTTTAGTGATGCTCGGAGTGCCTTTGGTTCGTCTGTCTTGGGTGCTTCAGGTTCTTACTTGGGGCAGCAGAAGACAGAACTGTTCCATCCTGTCCAGAATTTCTCTCCCTCTCCGGTAAAGCAAATCTAATTGCACTCCACTGCCTTTTCGCATACTCCCCAGGCTGCTTTTTTCCTCTGCTATGCCCAACTTGCTCAAATCCCCTATTGCAAGGATTTCAGATAATTGCACTGAGTCTGCCCCTTTTAATTACAACTCTCCCCTCCCTCTTTCAGCCAAGTTATTGAGCCATTTCTGTACATTGCCTGAGACATTTTTCTTTCTCCTTAGCTACGCTTCACTGTGTCACTGAAGATACTGGAGCATTTTCAATGCTCTGCTCAAAGAGCACCTGAAGAAACAAAATGTACTGGCTTTTTGCATGCAACCTACATATTACTGTGATATTTCTCTGGTGGGCTGAGAATTGGACAGATGGAGTTAGAATTACCTTGCTTAGCAAAATTGTTATGCTGTATTGATCTAATGCAATGCTGGATTAAGCGACATGCTGCTCCCTTACTGTAAGATAAGCTTTTATGTCAGGTTCTTAATGGTGGTGGTAGAGTTTTGTTTGGATTTTTTCCCACTTAAGATAATAAACTTGGACTTGTGTGCTTTTTCTGGCTGTAATGCAGGCTCCCTGTTTGACCTTAAATATCACAACGTTTGCTTCCTCACGTACAACATATCAATGGGAAAAATACTGTCCAAGTTGGTAGTGTTGTGCAGTCATATGCTTAAAGGGACAAATGCCTGCATCTGAAATGCAGTTACAAGTGTGTCAGCTGTGCAGATTTGTTCTGGCAAAAACTCTCCTGTCATGGCTACTGCCCTGCAGAGGCCTTAAAAGGCAAAGTGTAAATTACAAGAGACAGAATTTGAAAAGCATACAGGGGAAATGGAATGGACACCTTCCAAGAAACATTGCCAAAGATGCAGAAAGGACCATGACTTCAGTAGTAGTACAGCCTATACTGCAGTAGAGATTTAGCATTGATTTGGGAACCACACTGTCACTGATGCCATGAAAGTCTCAAAATCTGTGTCTACTGGCAGTGCACAAAGCACCTGTGACTGACTGAAGTCTTGAGGGGTCAGTAGATGGTAAATACTGGGTCTGTGCTACTCCTTTTCGCCTCTAACTTGGAAGTAGTAAATGATGAAGCAGTTGTATAAAAACTGTCAGTTTTGTGTTAGAGTGACCTGGTTTCTGTTTCTACCTTCTGTTTTTTCTTAAACAGTATTTCTCTGTGAAGACCTCTGTGCTTTAATTTGGGAAGATACTCAAACACTCCAAGAAATCTCAGACCATTTCAAGGGAGTGGTGTGTGCTTGTTGAAGATGTTGGTATTTACAGAGAATCTTCATGGATTCTAATGCTGGCATCAGTGCAAGAGTGTCGGGAATGGGTTGGCTCTGGATGGTCTTCTTCTTTCATCTAGTCACCTCATTAGAAGGTAAGAATGGATGTTTTGCAACAACTTTGAACAGTTTTCTGTAGAGGTTAAAAAAAAAAATAAAAGTGTGCTCTCCAGTATGCTTATATCCTAGTCCAGATGAGCATTGAGCACATGTCTGTTTGATGATTGATCACTATCTCTTGGGATTTAAAAACTTGTCAGTATTGTTTCTGATGGGAGAGGCAAACCCTCTTATGAAGGATCATTAGTGAACATTACTACTAACTATCTCAGACGTGCCTGCCTCAAAGAATAGATTTCTTTTTTTCTCCAGGAATAAGCCCCTTGTTTATATTTTACGTGTATTTGATTCTTGTGTTCCTGTTCTTGCACCACGTTTGCTTTGTGAAATGATCTCTGGATATTTGTACTGCTTGAGAAGACAGCACCCAATGGGCTGAAATCAAGAGTTTTTGTCTCACCTCTGAAAAACTTGCCTCAAATAATAGATATGGAGAGAATATTTTGCATTAACAAGAAGAGACAGTTCACAATCAGCCGGCAGACAGAGGAGGGAGAAAGCACTGAAGGCAGGGTAGGGGAAAGGTAGGCAGGGGAAAAGAGGTGCCAAGAAAAAGGTAGAAGAAAGAATAGATGATAGAATGGAGGGCGATGAGAGCAGGAGATAAGATTAGAGCTATGGAAGAGAGTTAGAGAAGGGCAGAGGTACTGTAAACAGTCCCCTTGTTTGTTCCAAGAATATCCTTGCAGCTACATGTGCTCAGTGAACTGTACTGCTTTGTGATGAATGTTCATCTCTTGCATTTCTGAAAGCCGCTGAAAGAGGAGAGGAGGGAGAGATGGAATCAAAGGGAAGCAAGGAAAGACCTAGAGAAAAGGAAAGGAGAATAGTGTGAGATCTAGTAAAAAGAGGAAAGCTTGTTAAAGCATCCGTTCTCTTAATAGGAAGGGAATGCAGTGTGTGTGGGAAGTTCAGAGACTAAATAATTGATGTAAGATTATAATACAAATTCTTAAATCTCTGAAATTCTCATTTCATGAAATGAGTGAATTACTCATTTTAAAATTGTATTACAAATATCTGTGTAATGTGTGTTAATGAGTTCCTCATGTAACTGGTAGAGAAACCAAGATAGCAAAGGGGGGAAAATGTAAATTCTCTCTGCAAATAATAAGTAACTGGGCGACGCCTGTGCAAGTGAACATTTTTTTTAATTCAGTGCTCACTCCTGAAAGTTTGTAGGGATTAAAGAGTTTAGAAAGTACTGTGTGATACAGCTTCACAGAACACATAGTTGACCTGCCTGGATTGAAATAGGACAGTAAAATTCTGCCAATGGAGAGGAAGCAGTAAAAGTGTCCATGAACCAAACTTCAACTCTCAATTCAGAGTCAGGGTAGTCAGCATCTTCCTTGTGACTGTACTGCATGGTCCTAAGTTTGCACTCCAAAGCTGATTTACATCTCAGAGGTAAGTATTTTTGTTGTGGTCAAAAGTCAAAGAAAAATTATATGGTAAGGGAGGAAAGTCTGATGATAAGTATGTAGAAAGCTTTGCTTTAGTGCAGAGTTGTCCATAAGGAAGGAAAAAGGCCTATGGCTTGTTTGTTGACTCATTATTATATACAGCAGAAACTTGAAATTCAGGTTTCAGACCTAAGTTGAAAAATATAGGGAATATCCAATGTGGTCTTTAGTTTTTGGAGAGCTTCTCAGAAGTTTCAGATGGTGTTTAAAATACATTTCACCTCCAACTAAAGAGAATTGACCGAGTGGGAAAATCAGTTCTTCCTAGTGTTTCTCAGGCATTTGAGTTAAAGTCTGAATGTAAATCACTTTTTGTCTCAAACTAAATGTTGTTCAAACTTTGTTTGAAATTTTCTAAACCTTAATGTTAATCATTAAGAAAAGAGGAAGAAACTCTCTAAAAGAAATAGAGAGGGGAAGTAGTCAAAATATTCAGACCATCTTTATATACATTATGAAAAGAGCAAATACTTCTTAGGCATAATGCCTCTCAAATAGAAAGAAGACAGCATGCTTTTACAGGACCTAATGGGACTTTAAACTCCATCATGACTCAGAAGTAAAGAAGTTCTTGTAAGCAATTGAAATTATTTTGTTGCTATTGGTTTTAATGCATAAAAAGGAGACATGAGGCTGAATTTATTCAATACAGCTCTAGTATTTGGACACACTGATTTCATTAGGAATGAGCATGTCTGTGCGAAGTTTTCCAGACATGATTTTTACTCCAAAAGAAAAGTCTGAATGGAAACCTAAGGGAAGGCTGCTTTGCAAACAGAAAACATTTGTACACTTACTATTTTAGCCTTATTAATAGAAACACATTTTCACAAAAGTTTTCATTAAGATCACATTTCTCAGTGTTTATAGTTCTGCAAGAGTTTTTGAGGATTTAGTTTTGAGAGCATTACTTCTGAGCCGCATGCTGGGTGAGGTAATAGATTTTTCCTTTTTCTCAAAGCTACATAAAGAACTGCAGTAATTTTATTTCTTTGAAAATCTATGGATGTATGTAATTACAGTTTATCACTGAATATTTAAATTAACATTTTAGGTTAACCTCTCTGATTGTAAAAATTTGTGAAGCATAGAATTTAAGAATGCTTGATGGGCTGCAGTCAAGACAGGTGAGAGCAAGTGATAACTTGTTAATGAAATAGCTCTTGCTAGGGCACTGGGATCAATTTTATGCAGAATATTGGTTTTGCTTTGATGGCATTATAAATGTCTACAGCTGTAAACACCGAGTTCATTTTGAAGAACTCATTAAATATGTTCCAGAGGAATGGTGTGTTCTGTATGTAAGGGACTGCATTTATTTTACAACAAGCTCTCAAGCTTGCAGAACAGCTGGACAATCTTTCTAAGTATCTTGCAGAAATTCAAGATACAGAGAGAGTAATTCTGCTTTGGTAAAACCTCTTTACATTATTCTCTTTGGCAAAAGAGAATATGGAAGAATATGGAAGAAAAAAGGCAGTGAGCTCAGACATTTCATTTTCCCCCTATTTTTTCTACCAACTGGTTATTATCTTGGGTTGTTGAAAATAATGTATTGATTGTTCAAATTGGCTTGCCTTTGAAGTGGAGGAAAAGATAGCTTCCTCAGAGGGATCTTCAGAGTGAAAAATACCACTGTCTTTTGGTTTATTATATTCAGTTTTGTATATACAAAGAAAGGTTTAAATTAGTGTCATTTTACCTTGGGGCGTGGGGGGAAAGTGAAATTAACTTTTTAGTTTGATTGCTTGTGATTCACATGAGTTATTAAAATCCTAGCAAACATTTTCTTCACAGCTCTTTCCTGACGCTCCCCTGTGTGCCAAAAACTTTGCCACATGCTTGGAAGGCCCAGGGCTGAGGAATATCCTGTTGTAGACACGCAGAAGGTGAATGAGACTGGGCTGGATGTGCAGCCTGTTTGTAAAGGGGAACAGACAGGGGTTTATCCTCTTGGTCAGTCTCAGCAGCTCCATTTGATTAATTTTCTTCCATAATCGATTCCTGTGTAGTTCCTGTGCTAGGGACATCCCTGTTCCCGGGTTTGTACCATGCCCTGTGTTGAATCTGTTCCCAAACTGCTGCTTGGAGGCCAGGAGGACAGGAGAGACTATTCATGCTGCAAATAACACTGTTTATATTCAAAGCTAATTAAAGCTTCATAGAAAAGGAATGGCATTCCTGTAGTGTAGAGTCTCCAGGATTTTCAGTGTATGCTTTGGTAAAACTTGGGAAGACATAAGCTCACTTTTTAGAGTCTATGAAAAAAAGCAGGCAGGAAAACATAGATAAGCATTAGAAGTCATGCTGTGCTGTCATTGGAAGTAGCTGGTTTGGTGGCAGTGGTAGCTGGACCCAAGTTCTAGACTTACTAGTGGCTGTTTGGAGAATGAACTTCTTTAGCTGTGGAAGAGTAGATATTATATTGTATCACTAGGAAGGTTGTAGATAGCAATTTAACTTGATTTCATATGCAAAGTTGGAACTTTTTTTTATTTTAATTTCTTGATGTCTGCATTTTCTGACATCAGTAGTAGTGCAACATGCTAATCCTGGCAGTTTCCTTAGAGCTTTAACAAAAGAAAGGGGCTGGGAAAGAGGAAAATACACAATCATTCATAAAGCTTAAAAACTGTGTTACCTTGCAAAAAGCTGTGTATTTCCATATCCTATACCATTTGGCTGTCATTTCTCTCTTTCACAGATGGTACATAACTCCTGGTTGGAGTGTGAGAATTCCTTCTTGCAGATGACAACTTTGATGTTCTGAGAGTGTCAGCATTTTGCTCTGACATAGCAAGCAGTTAAATTACATTAAACTTCATGGAACTTACTAAACACATATCCCATTGATTCCAAATAGCTTTTCTAAAATTAATTGCATTTTAAAAGGAGCATTGCAGAAGTAATACAGGATCATTCATTGCAGGATTGACAATATAGTTTTATACAAGAAAAAAATTCAAACTCATTTGTCTCATATAGATTGGTTTTGTATATATTCTTTTACATTAGGAGGCATATTCTATAACTCTGTAGCTTGATTTTTCATGTTAAGTCATAGCTAAAATTTAAGACATTTTCTTTTAAAAATAACCGTAACTTTTGTGTTGGATAGTTATGAAAAAGTAGGATTTTTTGGCTGGTTTTGTTTGGTTTTTTACTTGTTTGATCAACTAATTTTTGAAAAACAGAATACTTACTACAGTTGCATATGTCATTAGCTATTGATATATTATTTAATTCACCACAATTGCTGTTTAGTTTTGGAAGAAGTTCTAGTGTATTTAAGGCTTCCCAAAGATTTCAGTGTATTTTGTCTCCTGATGATAGACCCCATGCATAAATATATTTGTTTATAAGAGTGATTAAAGGTTCCTGATAAAAGGGTTCTCTCCCCATGCTCAAAGGAGCACAGAGGAACAGTGAAAGGCACGGGAATCTGAATAACCTAACAGAGAAGTAAATTCCCTGACCCAGCTTCTCCCGAGTACTATCACAGGAGTGTG